CCCCCCCCCCCCCCCCCATGCGGGGTCAACGGTTTAACGATTACGGCATGCACGACCATGAGTACACCCCCCGCCCCCCCGCGACTGCGTCATGCACCACTAGGAGCACTTACACACCCCAATAGTTTTCTGGCGGCGGCGACATGATCACTTGCCGGTACTATTTTTGCACGTGTCAACATCACAATCAATAAGCAAAAAATTACTCAGTTGTCACCTCCGACCAGGAGATGGGCCTGTACGTTCTCTCGGCGGCATGTTTCCTACCTGTAACATGCGCTGCTGGTATATTGTGGCACTTCGTGCACAGGATCAACGCCCGGTCCTTCCCCAGCCTATCCGTGCAAGTATTACACCAGCACACAACGCCGTGTCCTACTCCCCGTGTACCGTCTGGCCTTCGCGGTCTTGTCGCAAATCCCCCCATAACATACAAGGGATGAGTTATCGCCCTTCACGCTGTACGTCTCAACAGGGTTTGTCGTGCGTCTTGCCCCCGTCTCGGTGCGGCCTACACTGCACGAGGACATGAGGTGATTCGCGAGCCTACGGTCCCAGTCATCACGCTCCACCTCCATGGCCTTCTTTACGAGGGATTGAAACTCGCGAAGCTCTGCCACCGTGAGATCGCAACTGTCCGCGACTGCTCCCCGGCCTCCCCGGCCTCCCCAGCCTCCCCGGCGTCACCGACTCCTCCGTCTTGGGTCGCTGCCTACAACGCCGCCGTACACTGCGTGGTTAACACCCCAGTTCACTCGTAAAACAGGAACCACGCGTTGCTGACAGCTTGAGAGAACTTCTGGTCGAAGACACGCCTCCAGAAGAACGTCATAGGCCTGTGCGTGTGGGCGTGGGCGCCTAGCCACTGGTCCGCGACGTCTACACCACCCATGTTCTTCACGTGCTCCTTGCGAGCTAGTGGCTGACTGCTCGACACTTTCTCGCCGTTGTGGTCCGCAGCTCGCTTCCTGTCAAGATTTGCAAAAAGCAGATCGGCGGGCGTGTCAGGTAGATCCAAAGAGAAGTACATTAGGGGGTGATGCACGTGTGACGTTAGCCCGTGCTGCAGGCGTAGAAAAATTTCAATCTCACAACCGAAGGCGTCCGCTTTCGGCGGAGACGCTCACTTCCAGCCGAGAAGCATGCCCCCATGAACCGAACAACTAGCGTTGCCACATTTTCCATGCCGTGTGCAACACACAACTTGGTTGGGAGAAAAACCATGACAGCAATGAATGTACGTATCACGGTACACCACGATTGGATGCAGGTTCGGGAGAAAATATCATCGCGGCATGGATTAACGGTTGTACTCACTCGTAAGCGAGAGGTTTCCACTCGTCCGCAAATACATGCTTTGACGACATCAGGTGCACCTCCTGGGAGTCGATCCACTTGACGATCACGAGCTCGTCCGAGCGGGCCGCAGCATCTGCCCGCGCTCCGTCACCTTCATGCCCTCCTTCGACCAGATGTAGTTGGAGAGATCCACTCCGGTGCGGTTGCCGCGTGGAGTCCGGACGGCGAAAATGTCGCGCGTAGCGAGGTATCGCAGCAGGGCGGCTCCCGTGAAAAAGTTGTCCATCGCTACGGTAACACCGGAGCCGATGATCTTGTCGGAGAAAGTTTCGCACGCCTCGAGTAGGACGTACACGACTGTGCGGGCCGACTTCCCAATGGGACAACTCGCATGCGGCCTCAGCTTGATGTCGCCGCTGAACCCGCCGTCGATGCTTTGGACGAAGCAGTAGCCGGAAGGGCAGCAACCAGCCCAGCACTTGATTCCTGTGCGGGCCCGGACGAAAAACAGAGGGACACACGATTTGTTACCATTGCTCGCTCACTGTGTGCATACAAGATGTCAAAGTCGACACGAGCGGTGCACTTCAAGTCCTGCCTACCTAGGGACCTGCAAAATTAAGTACCAGGTATTTATTATTTCGTGTTTGGCATCTTGTGCTGCTCTTCTGGTACTTCACCTCTTCTTCCAGAGACAATAACAAAGCACATTGTACCTGCCTCCAAGGTGCTCGACCAACTTCACACATGGCGGTCTTTGCACGGAGTGAGGGTATGCGACTCCGCACATGTTTTACTCCACCACCCTCATGGTCGACGAATAAAGGAAGCGACAAGAGAAAAGAGCATCCCTGATCGTCGGGGGAAAGAAACGATCGCCGTGTTCCCCAGCGACGAAGACCCAACCCCAATGTATTGGGGGTGGGGGGGAGCGGTGGGGGTGAATCAAGTGTGCCGGACGACTTCATACGTGCACTGTACGGGAACGGATGATGCCACCGAGATCACACCCAAGAAATTAAGCCCCCCCCATTCCTCCTGCGCCTCCCCCCGGTCTTTGCAATCGGGGATGGGATTTGGTCGCCGGGCAACGACATCGTCAAACAAGCCGATCACTTGGTGGGCTCGACAACCAAGTGGCAGCATTGTTTGGCGGTAGCCATAATGGTGGCCGAGTAGATCATGTTGTGAGGGGTCGAGAACCCTCACTCCGCGCAAGGAGGATGATCGCACCAGGTCGTGTTAAAATGGTCAAGCACCCTCGAGACAATTACACAGTGCTTACAACTGTCTCCGGAAGTGAAAGCACCAGAAAGTAAATTAAGTTATTTGCAGCTATCATTCGTACGCAAGGAAGTATGCACAAGATGCCGAAAACCCTTAGCAGGATGCAGCGCACCCTTCATGCGACTCGCCGAATACCTCACGGCGCTTCGCGCTTGGTGATGTGAGAGCCTGGTCCGGTGAGAACCCGGCGTGCTCCGTCCCGGCTTTGCAGGGATGCGAGGTCAATGGTCTAACGACTACGGCATGCACGACTATGAGTACACTCCCCTCCCCGCCCGACCTCCCGGATCTACTCGGGTATTCACTTTCCACCTCACCGAGCTTGATCGGCTTCGACTTGTTGAACCTCATCAGCGCGAACATCACATCACTCTCGCCGTGCTCTTAACCATCTTCTCGTCGTACGATAGCCATGCGCCGGGGTCCACAAACTCGCTCCAGTACTTGTTCAACACGTCCTCCAGCTATCTGCCGAGAGAAGCATATATTTATTTCAATCATACTCAACGGTTGATTTTATTTCATCACAGAGGGCGCACTTGTATGTCGGCAAACACAAAACCGTCGAAACGCAGCATCGGCGGACCTACATAGAGGGGGGGTTCGCACCTAGAGCGGTGTTGCAAGTGTTGAGGCTCGATATCGCAGTTTACCACGTAGTTTGGGCCGAGGGGTCGCACGACATAGGTTTTCCGTCCCCAATCAGCGTTACACAAGCGGTCACGCAACCAAAACGTATTTTTCGGCATGTGTCGATCTGGTTGCTTTGCACTTCGACGACACATACTGTATTCCAAATCATCTGCCCGCGGGTCAGAGCGGTTCGTTTTCACTCAGGCCATACTCAGCAGTATCTTAGGCCATCCTTCTGAAAGGCGGAGCAGGCAACACATCCGAGGGAAATAACAACATACCCGTCATGGGGCATACCTGATGTGGTGGTTGCAGTCGTGGCCGGGGCCAAGTGGAAGAAGCGGCCGTAGAACAGGACAAACAGGTCTCGAGGCATGCAGGCCCGGACCAGGGGGTAGTTGTCATGGAGTTCCATCCCCCAGTGGTCGGTGATCCGCCGATTCTGGGTGATTCCCGCGGTGATGAGGATACCCATCACGCCGTACAGGTGCTTGTGCTCGAAAGCGTACTCTCGAGATCCATCCGCGAGGTCCCTGTACGGCACCGTCTGAAATCCCCGCGTCACCTTCTTCGCCCGATGACGAGGTTCCTGGTGTTCCAGGGGCGGGTCAGACTCGTCGGCGCAGAAGTTGACCTACCCTTTCGTCTGATAAGAGGGCGGGAAGGGGCGGAATATAAAAAATAGGCGTGAAGGGGCTGGACACGAGAGGGATTTCTAAAAAACAAATTGGGACGGCCGAGGGGTAGGGGTCCAAGCAACTTCGACGGTGCGCACCACCAGCTATCTTGAACATGTTTCGGCACCAAGCAAGCCTGCACGTCTGAACAATTAACGATAAGCACATGACCCCAACAAACAATTCGAAGTGAAACATGCACCGTGGACAACGGTCCGCCAGCTACAGTCTGCGCTTTATCCTATTGTGCGCGTGGTGGCCGTTATACTGGTGCTCCTGCCGCTGTTGGCATGAAAACCATGCCACGACGTGGAACACCACTTATTTGGTTGTTTGGGGGGAGGGGGGGGGGGTATGCCCTAACTCGCAAAATATTGCTGAAGGACACAAAACGCGACCTTCGTTTTCCGCACCTCCCTCAGGACGACGTCCTGCGCCTCCGTCGGGAAAGTCTTCTCAAAGAACATGAAGGGGAGACCCCCACCCTTCCCGTTGACGAAAGAACGGAAAACAGCTAACCCTTGTTTGTCGACCTTCGGTAGACTCGCCCTCAGCGGGTCCGTCAGGCTGAACGGCCGGGGTGTTTGTGCCGCCTCTTGTACGGGTCGGATGACTCGTCACGGGGTAGTCCCTCGAGCACCCACCCTGTCGGCTCGTCGGGGATGGGAGGGGGGGATGGTTCACCAGCCTGGAAAAGACCAACAACAAACACCAGGTATAATTGAGGGCATCCCAATAATACACTTGAAATAAAAATAGGCTCGCACAATAGTACCGAACAACACACGGCAAAATGGTACAAACTTATCGCAGCATCGCCTACGGCAATGAGCGACACACGCATTTGGCATTAGTCATGCGTCCACAGCAGTAGTGCGGTCGATGCTGCTCAAGAGGAAGAATACAAAAGTAACATGTGTACACTGGTGTAGGTTACCACGTAGGAATACGTTGTAATGGAAAGCACGCCAGCGCTAAAAGGTAGGCTAAGCAAAAGCTATGTTGCTCACCTTTGGTTTTGGGAGCTTGATCCGCTTGAAGTGCCACACACTCTCCTGCGCTCTCCGGATGCCCTCATCCTCGATCTTGGAGGCCTGCGCGTAGTGCAGTTCCTTGGACTTCGCTATGAACGGACGCGCGCCAGGAGTATGCAATTCGTCCATACCACCACCCCACTCCGACTCCGAGTGATAGTTGCCTACCTCGACGCTGCCCCCCACTCCAAGAGCTGCACCTGACGCCGTCTTTCGGCCCTTCTATAGGCCGTCATGATGCTTGCAAAATCCTGCCGTCCTACCTCCAACCTTGTTGCCGCACTTTTCGCCACGTCGTGCGCCGCGGCTAATGAAAGTGACACATACAGCCGGGTTCGGCGGAGAAGAATCCGGCGGGGATGATTGCTGCCGCCGCAGCTGCTGCTGCTGCTGTTGCTGGTCCTTCTGTTGCGCCTCACGCGAATTCGTAGGGAGCCGGTCCGTGACCGGTAGTTCCGGGGCCCCCTGTTGTTGCCGCTGTTGCCCACCTACACTGCGGGTGGGTGTTGTGACAGCGTCATGCGAATTCGGTATACTTCCTAGATCCAAGCGCTCCGGCGGAGTTCGTTGCTGCTGCTGCTGCTGCTGCTGCTGCTGCTGCTGCTGCTGCTGCTGCTGCTGCTGCTGTTGCGCCTCACGCGAGGTCGTAGGGAGCCGGTCCGTGACCGGTAGCTCCGGGGTCCCCTATTGTTGCGGCTGTTGCCCTCCTACACCGCGGGTGTTGTGACCAGCGTCATGCGAGTTCAGTACACTTCCTAGATCCAAGCGCTCCGGCGGAGATGGTTTCTGTTGCTGCTGCTGTTGCCGCTGCCGCTGTTGCGGCCCAAGCAAAGCCGTCCGGAGCGACGGCGTGACCGGTGATGCCGGCGCTTGTTGTTGTTGTCGTAGCTGCCGAGCTGCGCCCCGGATATTGTGACCAGCTTTGTGCGAGTTCGCAGCATATATCGGTTTATACGATGCGTCCATATCAAACTCACAGTCATCCTCATCATCACTCGGCACTCTTGGGTCGATTGCATATCCGCTGTCCTCCATGCCCAGCTCGCTGTCCTCAGTGGCCGCGTTCACAGCAAGTGTGGGTGGCTGCCGGAGAGAGACGGCCAAAGCCGATGTACGAGCAGGAATGGCAACTGGCGCTGCCAACAACGCTACTGCAAGCGCTACCAACAACGCCGCCCAGATGGACATGGCAGACCACGCGGGGCGTCGAGGCCTCCTCATGACCTCTCGGCGCACCTCTGGTGGATGCTCCGTGTGTTTGCAGCAATGCGTTGGTGGGGCGGGCGCGCTCTATCCTGGCGAGCTCTACAACTCCTTTGCATGTGGTTCGGGGTTTCTGTCGTATCCTCCCCTATACGACTAGACCGTCTGTTCGGCGCTATTAGAAAAAATATATGAAAAAAATGATCAATCAATGATCTGTCAGAAGGCCTGTAGACCCAAAAGGTTAATGGGAATATTTATTCGAAAGGAAAACACGCGACCTCGTCGATGTGTGAGCGTACTTCATCATGACACATCAAGTTACTTACATGTTGGGAGACACCCCCCGCTTGTGTATCTCTGTCGGAGTTCTCTTTTCCGCCCTCAACCAATACACGATATACCAATAACCAATAAGCCCCCCCTCCCACAAAAGAAGAGTGGCCAGGGAGAAGACCACGTCGTGGCCATTGAAATCGCATGTTACACGCGGGAGTCCTTCGAATTTTGAGAGTTTTCGCTCGTTCATTGTGAGACCACCTCCCGGGTGTAAAAGACGGGATGCGAAGGCCACCATCCCAAGAGAATCTCCGTCGGTACCCTTCATGGTAACCACATCTACAAACACACTGAACGCGACAGGTGATGGCGAAACACCAGCGCTGAAAAACAATACTCTTTGTTCGAGTACGCCCCCTGCCCGTTACGTTTGGGTGAATATGTATGACGTGCCCGCCCTCGTTGCCCGGAACGTGTGTGGCGCACGGCAAAACGGTGGCGCAGAAGTAGACACGTTGCTGTTGAAACGTTGGTGTATGCCTGTGTTGTACTTTCCCCACATGTGTTTCTTCATATCCTCTGAACGACAGCGATTCTTACCGTACGAAATATCGTCGCGATACACCACCTATTCGTGCATATGCCGCATCCGCTCCGCCCGCCACCCCTTTCCTCTCTCTCTCATCACCACAAAGCGACCACGAACCGGTTCCACCTGTAGCGGACACGGAGGACGAAGAAAGCGGTGACAAAGATTACGACCCCAAGTACTCTGAAGAAGAGGAGAAAGACGAGGAAGACGACCAGTCTGAAGACCTACTCGCGCCCCAGGTCCCCTCTCCTATGCCCTCTCCGATGCCCGCCATCGGGGGACGCGACCCCGATGGGTGGAACCAGCATGTTGCCCCCCGCTGGCGCGGAAGGCGTCTTCGTCTCACCGCGCCGTCCTCCGGCGGCGCGGCCGGAGGCAGGGACAGCGCCCGCCGCGGCTCGTTCCCGAGTGCGACGCTAGACGGCGGCCGCCGCCCCTTTGGGAGCCTTCGTGGGACGCCCGTGGCGGGTGCCAGCATCACCAGCTCCGTCACCATCGATAGCAGCATGAGCTCGGACGAGATACCTCCGTCAGATTGTTTCGTCGACAGTGCCGTCCGGCCTCTCGGGCCACCTGGTCCGGTTCGTGGCCCCATCCTTGATGGTGAGTATGGTACACACTATTTGAGGGTCGTCGTAAGTTGTGAAGTGCGTACTCGTGTATGTGTATATCATATTTATATTTCGCAAGTCATTGATTGCACAACAGACGTTTGTTTGCGTTCGGTTACTGAACCCTCTCGTGCGTGTCATTCGCTGCTTGATTTTTCCCAAGTTGCTTCCAGGCGCACCCGCCGTCTTCTGGTGCCTCGATCAACACGCAGGGAAACTTCGGCGAGTGATCCGAGCGGGGATTCATCCTGGATATCTCGGCGCTTTTCAGCGAGACTTTCGTGGGGCCCGAGAAGAAGCGCCATTCCTCTGGACAGCAACCATCCACCAACAACAACAAGGTTATGACGGCAATCAGCTGAGTGTGGGTCGGACCCGACCCGTCACCTCCGAGTTCCCAGGTATACAACGCGTGTGCTCGGTTTATATAATGTAGACTATGTTTTCTTTTTTTTCTCCTGTTCAGAAATGTTTTAGAACTCAGCGGCCCAACGGTTACTGCACTTTGTCGTGTACTACTTCTTCTCGGCCCTCGGTATCCTCGTTACCCTCGATACCTTGTGCCCAAAAGATGTTTGGGCACCTTTGAAGAGCCCCTGGTTAAGCGACCACGGATTCTCGGTGCCTCGTTTGCGTCGTTGATGTGCCTACCCACGCCCATATATGCTTGTGCCAGAGTACATACGTCCTGCCGCCCCTTGCGGGTTTTACACAATTTCAAACTGTGTGTCGCCGCCGTGTGTCTTGCGCCATGGTGTCTTCTGTCTCCACATTCCAGCGATCCTCTCCAAGCACATTCCGCCGTACAAAGCGATCTCCACGCCGCCCTTCGCTTGGGCCCGGCGGAGCACATCATCCTACCCGCTCTCAACGACGAAATCTGAGCCAACCTGGGAGCGGAGACTGCGTCAGACCTCATCCGCGGGGTTCGCGCTTCTCTGTACACCATGGATGCGGACGGGGGCGAGGTATACTAGGTGTTCCATTGTTTTGTATGCTTCGGGAGCGGTGTGTAGATATGTGTACATTGATTGAGTGCGTGATTGCGCGTATGTATGTGGTCCCTGGGAGAGAGTATGTATACCCCAAAGCTGTAACGAGTGTCTATAGCTGTGAAGGTCATGCCGAATGGGTGTTGAAGCTTGAGCATCGCCACGTACCTCCGTGCCGTCTAACCAACTGCTGCTGCCTTTCACGTGCCCTGTCCCCCAATCATTTTCTGCAGAACGCCCGCCGCGTCGAGGCCTTCATGCACGCCACCTTTGCTCGAGCGATGAAGGCCCACCGCTCCAAGGACCGCCATGGCCTGTCCATGGCCGATGTCTTCGGCGGGAACAGCCTCCGCCGCAACTTCGCCAACCAGGTACGTGGAAGCGCTTAGGTGTGTTTTCGCTTGGCGGCTACAGTCCAAAGGTACGTAGTCCCACCACACATACTGTTCATGATTCAGGTGGACATGTGCGCTTATTCTCGTGTATCGACATGATGTTTTTTTTCCGCGGGGTCAAAATGTGTTGGTCCGTTCCGCTGGGAGTGCTGTGTCCCAGCCGCGTAGGGCTACTCTCTCGTTTATGCGCCCCTCGGCCCATCAGAAAGTACAGACAAATCAGTTCGACCTCGCATTCCTGTGTACTCCATCCACACTTTTCAGGTCGCGACCCCGCTCGCCCTGCACGCCATCGCGTAGCTAGAGCATGCCCCTCTCATTGACGTCGGCGCGCCGGAGACCATCGCCTGTCGCGCTGTGAGGCAGGTGAGGAGCTGGTCCAAGCTACAGAGCGGCGGATTCAGAGCCAGGAACGAAAGGGCGTTCCAAGAAGCGTGAGTGCCGGGTGTGTGTGTGAGTTTTTTTTTTTGCAGCAGGTATTCCAAACGTTGCACAAGATGCATGGTTTTCGGCCCGGTCTCACCGCTCCCTTCGTCATCTTGAACACGTGAAAGCCCTTGCACAGATATTTGACTGCGTCCTCTCACGAGCCCTCTTGCAGCTATAAACTGGGTCCGAAAAATATCTGATTGTAGGCTGAGCCCAATCACCACTACCTTTTGAAATCCTCCTCGTGGCGGTCATCATTGGGGTGGTGTTGTGGGAGGGGGGGCGTTCAAAGAAAAACACGCCGCATAGACCCGGCATCGTGTCGTGGCGTTAGTGTTGCCGAGTCTTGTGTTGGCGTAGATGCATGTCAATTGTTTTCCCATACGCCATCTACTCATATATCCCAATATTGTTCACGATAACATTTAATAGGATGTGGCGCCACCTATACGGGTTCATCACGAGCCCCCGCCGCCTTGCTCACGGGCTCACGGCGATGGACCCCGCCTCCATCACCAAGGCAGACGCTCGGCGCTACCTCACCCTGTGCTACATGGGTGAGAGCTTTTTTTCTTCTCTCCCATTATTGGACTCTGTTGTCTGCCCCTCTGGCCCCCATCCTCCACTTCTACTAGCTAGACGACCCAACCGGGGTCACATAGGAGTAATGACACCGGGCATTCGCTATGCTTTCTTGTACGCGTCCCGCGAGGTGCGTTTTGCCGCCACGGCAGTCGCGTATAGCTAAAAAGCACACATGAAACAGGCTATGTAGGGAGTGACCGTTACCCGAGTAGACGCACCTGGGAGGGGCAGTTTTTCCCCCAGGTTGCCATGCGTTGTTTAGCATCTGTCGGCGAAGTTTCGTTTCTGTTCGCGACGACGACTACGCTGGAACGTACATCGTGGTGTGCGTTGATGTAGGACCAAAGTGGGTACCCGGCGAGGAACCTTCCCAGCTTTTCAGTGTGGCTATACCAGTACACCACAAGCATGCATCCCTCTTGCTCGCCCCCGCACCGCCTCGACGCGCATCAGCTCTATTTACAAAACGCCAATTTCGTCAACTTCCGTGGTTGGTTGTACTTTTTCCTCTTCACAGAGGAGCCGGCCATCGCCAACCCCGAGCCCGCCTCGGACGGAGAGGTGACGGTCGACCCCAACGCTGACCCTCTTCGGGTCGAGGACACCCTCGCCCCGGACGCCGACTTGTAGAAGGCGCGCATCGCACCTCCTGTGCCCTCGAGTGTGTCGCCTGTTGATGGCGAAATGGAGTGTGTTCGGATGTGACAGAGTTTTGCTTAGTAAGAGGCTAGCACGGTTTTGGGAGGGGGGGGGCGCGTGGGAGTTCTATTTATATCTTTGTGCGTTGCGTGGAACATGTCGTGCACAGAGCCGGAGATATAGGAAAGAGATGGTAAGAAAAACAGATCGTGGACGGAAGATAGATCTATCTGTGTCTCCCGTCCCCGCCTGTTATTGACGCCGCCGTATGTTTCTCATACGCCGGGAACACGTAGTTTGAAAATTGAGTCTGTCCTGATGAGTTTTTTGCGGCGCGTGCAGGTACCCGTCTCGTCGTCCTTTTTCACTCACACAAGCTCGTAAAAAAATCGGTTTCTGGTTCGGCGAGACACACCAGACAGAGAGAACGCGCAAGTGGTTGGTATAAACGGCAAGACTACACAAGTGTTTTCCGGTCGCGAGTTGTACGAATACGTGTCCTCTAGAGCGTTTTTGGTGTGGGTGCGGTATGAGTCCGGCGTCGAGAACTCGTGTGGATCGGGTGTGTCTGACGCAAATATAGGTAATAATCACAATTACCTTCCACCAAGGTGGTACCCTCTCCGCACCAAACAGATGACCACTCGCAGGGTCCCTGCCGTACACGGTACACCCTCCGACACAATTACAAAGGTCGCCACCTTCACATGGGGCAGCCTCCTCGACCTTATTCATTACCTGACCTTGTACCAAGGTGTACCCTCACACACCATATAGGAAGCCTCTGCCCTATACAGGGTAGGCCGAAACAGGCCCGACAGGGTCCATGTCCTGTCGTGTGCTCCACGCCCTGGTCCCTACAGGGTCCGCATACTGCCTATGGATCACAATATAGGGCCGTCACAGTACTCGTTCCTGCAGGGTCTCAGAGCGGGCGCCCTGCGGTCCGAGCCGAATGGGTACGTGTGCGTCCCTCTGTCCCTCGCCTCCCTCCCACTGGTAGGACAATGACTAGGCGGGTGTGGGAAAGGTGATATCTGTTTGTAGGTAAATCCAACCGGAGGGTTCGAAAACGTATTTCGTCTCACAGAACGTTACCTTCTACCTCAGGCGCTTAGGCTGGTAAGGGTGGGTCTTAACCGGAATTGTGCGCCCCGAGGTCCCGTCCCGACCCGGAGTTATATTGAACAGAAAGGTCCACAGAACTTGGGGATCAAACGTGTGGCGGGTCTCAACCGGCTTTGCCAAAAAACAGACCCCGGGGTGAAGTTGAGTGTGCGGCAAAACTCCGAACAGATATGTGGTTGAGGGTGCTCTTGTTTGCAGCTGTGTGGCGATGTGGACACGGGGCTGCCGCCAGTGAGCCCCCTGAGCTGCGCGGGCCGGGAACACCCTCTGGCACAAACTTCGAGCACCCTCCGGCAACAACTTCGGAGGGAGAGGGGGGCAAATCCACAGAGCGGCGGCACATGCTGCAGTTTTTGTCCAACTTGACTGGTGGTTGCAGTACTGATGGCAGCAGCTGCAGCCGCTACTTTTCGCATGTTTTGTGGGTCTGCGAACAATGGTGTCGGATACATGTGCTGGATGATTTGGTGTCAAGCAGACTGGTAAGATTGCCGTTTGGTAGGGGGCACCGCGATAAATCACGGGGCCTTTCTGTGGGAGTCGCTTTTTGAGGACTTCCACTTTCGTCCGTGTGAAGGATTGTCGTCTACCTCTCATGAAGTTAATACATGGCACAAACAGTCTCACCCGAAAAATATGTGGCGTATGCCACAAACACTCTATAGAGTTTTTGCCCCTCGAGGGAAGCCACATTGCGATGAACTCTGCTCGAGACAAAGAGCGCACTGCTGCCAGCGGAGAATAGTCCCCCCGCCGGTGCAGGAGAGCAGCGATGCGGAGCTTGCAAGTCTGCAACTGCAGGTTTCGCGATTGGGGGCCCTGGTGAAGGAGTCGATAAAGAAGGAGGAGCCTGGCAGCGTCGTGGCGGATGCAGCCAGTAGTGGCGGCTGGGTTGCCGGCACCGAAGGCCAAAAAGAGGAGCCCATGCAGCCGCTCGGCGGTGGCGGGGATTCCTCCAGCAGCAAGGGAGAGATTGTGGGCAAGAACCACGGCAGCTGCTGGAAGGCGGCCGGGCATAAGACCGGACTACGGGGAAGCGAGGGGGTTAACCCCCCCAGGTGAGATACCCGTGATTCGAGGAAATGGAGAATTCCTCGACGGCTACAGCAGTAGCCACATGAAGAGAGGAACAGTCAATGCCCCGCGTCTCGAAGGGAAGAGTCGCGGCCATGGGTATGACTCGTGGAGAAAGTCGCATATCCAAGCGGCCAAGACCGTAAGGCTGGACGGCCAATTGATCGGCAACAACGAGAGACATGCACCTGTCGGCAACTCAAACGTGCCAAGCTCGGAGCTGTACCGCCTGCAATACACCAACGACGAGGTCCAGAGGGGCCTCCACGCGTCCCATTTTGTGACCACTGCCATCGTCAGAGAAGCCGACAAGGCGATCGTGAACAAATGCGAGACCGCAATAGGGATCCTCGCGGAACTCGACAAAATCTACGATCCGGAATCGCAGGACTCGAAACAAGCCCTCATGAAGCAAATGTTCAACCTCACGATCCCCACACACAGCAGCAGAAACCCCATCGGGCACCTGTACTCGCTCGAGCTGCTGTGCTCACGCTACGCGAAGAAGTGCTCAACGCTGACGCACCCTTTGTATTCGCCCATTTCGTTGATTCCCTCCCACCCGAGTTCCAACAAGCGAAGCTCCTGTTGGAGTCAGCAACGGCGCTGGATAGGGCCGAGATCGTCAGAATCGTGAGCACGGTGCACGCGAGCCTTCCGGAGGGGAAGAAGGCCTCGAAGGGCCAGCGGAGGGCAGAGCACGTTATCCTCGCGAGCGACCGTAGCGGTGGGGGAGGAGCGCCGGGCCGCGGCAACGGCGGCCGCCGCAAGGGTGGCGGCGGCGGCGGCGGCGGCAACCGGAAAGGGAGAGGGGGTGGCGCGAAGGCTGGTGGCGGCGGGGGAGGCGGCGACGACGATGCGGGTAGCATGCGCGGTCGCTGTTTCCGGTGCGGCAAGATGGGCCACCAGGTGGCCGACTGCACCGAGAGCAAGCCCGTGCGATGTGAGAGATGCAAGTCCTACGGGCACGACAAGAGCAAGTACCCGACCGAGGAGGCGGTGCTGGTGGTGGAACTGCCGGCTGGGGGGGCGTCTGCGAACGCCACAGCACTGGACGTGGCAGAAGAGGCGCTGGCGGTAGGTGGCATCTCAGGCGAGTGTCACAAAGTCGTTGGTCGAGGGGGTGTAGAGCAGGCTAGGCTGGGTAGGTATGTTGCCGATAGCGACGCTACCACCCACATGTTCGCGAACTCACATGGGTTCGCTCGTTACGAAGAGTGTGATCGACGTGTGCGCGTCGCCGCTTGAGAAACCTTTGTCCCCATCGTGAGGTACGGCGAAGTGACGGTAACCCTTAGCTCGCGCGACGGCACAACCGACCTGTTGTTGAAACGGGTTGCACACGTTCCCCGACTAGATTACAACCTAGTTTCTCTCACTTCCCTCTTCGAAGATGGGTTCGAAACCAAAACCCTCAATAGACACGAGTTGGAGTCGGAGAGAGGGAGGGGAGAGTCGGTGTACTTTCCCCGATGCGGTAACCTGTACGTCCAAAACGGTTTCCGCACAAACACCGAACATGCCTACGCCGCAATTGCTCCTGGCAACGCGAAAGCGTCAACCGCCACCGTTGACATCAACTATTTGCACTGCGCGCACTGCCACTCCCACGAGGTGCTGCTGAGGGCCACGGCAAAGCAGCAGGGGACGACGCTGGTGGACCAGCTCCGGGAGTGCCTGGGGTGCTCGACGGCGAAGGGACTTTCCAAGGCCATCCCCAACAAGACGTCGACCCGAGCAGCAAAGGAACTGCAACGAATTTTCGTGGATTTGAGTGAAAAAGCTAGGGTGCAGAGCTTCGGGGGGAAGTGGTACACTCTCATTGTCAAGGATGGTTACACAAGATGGAACCGTGTATATTTCCTGAAGCACAATTCAGACGCAGCTGAGACATTCGAGAGGTACCTTGCAGACAACCGGGCAGACGGTGCCCCGTCCGATGTCATGGCCGTCAGATTTGACAACGGTGGTGAGTTTTTTGAGGGAGAGTTCGGCAGGGTGCGCCGGAAGTACTGCATCAAACAGGAGTTCACCCCCGCACACAGCCCAGAATATAACGGTGTAGCTGAGAGAGCACTGGGTCTGATCAAGGATGCAGCACTAGCCGCTCGTATCCAAGCGCCAACTCTTCACCCTGGAGCCCCAAACTCCCCCCCCCTTGGGTCGAGGCCATAGCTTGGGCATGCAACGCCCTGAACTGCACCTCCACCACATCCAACCCAGAGAAGAAATGGCCGTACGAGATGTGGCACGGGCACCCTCCCCCGCCGGGGGCGACGTACCCGTTCCTCAAACCTACCGTATACAAGATCAAACGCACGCACAAGTCCGAGCCGAAAGCCCCCAAAAAGTGTTTTTACCTCGGCCCTGGAATCAGCATCAACCGTGATTGCGTGCGCATCTTGAACGAAAAACGACAAGCGATCACAACTAGCAACTTCACCTGGCAATCCGTACCCGCTGCCCCCACCGCCCTGCCCCAGTCGCTGCCTACCGTCGCAGAGGAGGAAGAGGAATTGGCGACTGGGAAGGACGAGGTTAGGGAGGGCGCGTCGAGCCAAGGTAGAGGGAGGGCGGAGGGAGAACCTGTGGATGGAGGACCAGGTTTCAACCTTGAAACGACGGCAGCACCGGGGCCCGCGGGGCCGCCCGCGCGCGTAGCGCCGGCGGCGGCGCCGGCCGCGCCCCAGGTATCGGGCGCGGGCGACGCTGGCGATGGCGCCCCCTCGAGCAGGGACGGCGCGAGCATCGCCCCATCGATCACGTCGGCCGGCATGGCCGATGTGGTCGGCGGCGAGGACGATCGCCGCCGCAGCAGCCGCGGTAGCGGCGGCGGCGGCAGCGACAGCGGCAGCAACAGCGGCAGCAACAGCGAGACGGATCTCCCGGCGCTCCGCGGGCCAGAGGCCCGGCGGCTCGCCCGCTTCGACAAAGCGGCGGAACTCACCAGCCGGCGCACCAGGGAGAACCCTCGCCGAAACCTGAGGTACGAGTCGCCCCCGTCGCCGACGAGTACCGACGCCCTGCTCGCCTTGGTGGCGAGCCTGCCCGTCAGCAGCACGAAGGAGTGCACCCGCTGGATGCTCTCCACGGTACTTCACGTGACGGAAGGGTTAGCGGCAAGGGCGGTGCGAGAGTTGCTGTTCGAGCGCGCGGAGGAGGCCCACGCCGCACCGGTCTCCCCGGTGGTCTAGTGGTATCCTCGTAATCCGCTAGTCGCAGAGGTCGTGNAGCGGCGGAACTCACCAGCCGGCGCACCAGGGAGAACCCTCGCCGAAACCTGAGGTACGAGTCGCCCCCGTCGCCGACGAGTACCGACGCCCTGCTCGCCTTGGTGGCGAGCCTGCCCGTCAGCAGCACGAAGGAGTGCACCCGCTGGATGCTCTCCACGGTACTTCACGTGACGGAAGGGTTAGCGGCAAGGGCGGTGCGAGAGTTGCTGTTCGAGCGCGCGGAGGAGGCCCACGCCGCACCGGTCTCCCCGGTGGTCTAGTGGTATCCTCGTAATCCGCTAGTCGCAGAGGTCGTGAGTTCGAATCCCCATGGGGTGAAAAATTTACGAAATTTGCGGGTGAAAGCGAAAGATAGCTAAAACGCTCTCGTGAGTACCAAACTTCGACGTTAGCACCGTTGACGAGGGAAAGGGACGCCTGGACCCTTCTCGCCATAAAAAAAATGATTCAGCACGCACCGCAGGAGGAAGATGGGGCATGAAAATAAACAATAAGAAGAAAAAAGCCCTGGTGGTTACCCCCTTCTGTGTGACCCTGGATGGTTGTAGTTGTACAAAACATTACACTGAAAAGTGTAGTACTCTACATACTCTGAAAAGTGTAGTACACGTCTCACCACGAAAAAATGAGAGGAGTGTAGCCATAATAAATAGGACGAAATCACACACACACACACACACGCTGCTCGCCAAGAGTGAGAGGACTTCCTGCTGGGTGCGGTGGACCTCATGCTCAACTCGCCAGACGCCTTCGAGACGGCTCTGGCGTCCCACGAGCTAAGTGAATCTCTCATTAGCAAGCGTCCGAGTGATGTAGAACCCCCTCCATGACCGTAGCCGGCGTTGTCAAGTCTGTGTACAGAGAGGGGTGGGTACAGGCCATGAGGGAAGAGTTCGAAGGGCACTTGGGCACGGGGACGTTTTCATTCGTAGACGGCGCGCCAGAGGGGCGCAGACCTGTGAGCTCAAAGTGGTGTTTCAGTTGGAAGACCATCCTTGAAGGGAAGATGGAAAGTTCAAACGCGCGTCTGGTGGCTAGGGGGTTTTCGTAAGTCCCGAACGTCGATTATTTCCATTCGTCTTCCCCTTGCTCATCACCCGCATCCATTAAACTGATGCTTGCGGTAGCAAACGAGAAGGGCATGAACCTCAACAACTGGACTGTGAAGTAGGCGTACACACACGCCACGCTAGACGAGGAGGTTTTTCTGAGGCTCCCCGCTGGGTGCGGGGACATATCGCACAAGATTGATAAGGCTGAGGTGCGATTTACGGTCTGAAGCAGAGCAGTAGGCAGTGGGGGCACCACGTTGTTGATATGCTAGACGAGAACGGGTTCGAGAGGTGCAAGGCGGACCCGTGTGTTTTCCGCAAGATGGTAGACGAAGTCGTGGTGATGATTATCGTGATTTATGTGGATGACACTTTGGTGGCTGGGTCTGACGAGGATTGCGAGGAGTTGCTTGCCTCTCTCGACAAGAAAATTCCCACCAAAAATCTTGGAGAATGCGAATGGTTTGACGGGTGCGCCATTGAGAGAGATGTAGACGCTGGGACTCTTAGAATCTCCCGAACCGCGCACATTGGTAGCATGGTGAAACACTTTGATACAACATATTGGTGAAATTTAGAGCGAAGTATGAAATTGAGAGCGAGCGCCAAAATAAATTTAATTCGGGTCCAGACGCCTCTTGCCATTTCTCGGGAAGTAGGGGGCGCGCTCTTCCAAGAAGCGGCGCAAATTGAAGATCTCATCAGTAGCGTCACGAGCATATGCGTGTCATCGTCATCGGATGCTGCAGCTAGGAGTTACACAAGTTGCTAGATTACCCCAGATTGCCTATTCCTGCCTCAAACTGTTGCAGGGCGGTATGGCCTCGGGCGGTGGGCTTTGCTGTAGCTTCTGCTCGCCGCTGTAGCTCCACATCGAGATACTCCCCCAGGATGACCAGGGTATCTGCTTGTAGCGACGGGCTGGCCCTTCAATTCAAGCTACACAGCAAGCTCCACCTCTCAACAGAAGTCGAGCTGCAGCGCATCGCGCAAACTCGCTCTCAATCATATGCTTTGCTTTCAATTTCACCAACAGTGATGTACAATCGACCTCCCGCATCCCTGCTTCCCTTGGTGTCGACCTAGGACCGAAGCGAGATGACGAGAAGGGAGGGGAGTGGCCGGTGAGGGAGGCCATCGGCAGCATGATGTGGGTGTCGAAGTTCTCGCGTCCAAACGTCTCGTTCGCTGTGCATGCGGTAGCGCGCCACGCCCGCGCCCCGGCGAAGAGGCACTGGGATGCCATTCAGAAGATCCTCGGCTACTTGAAGGAGACGAGGGACCTCGGCATCTCCTACAGACGGGAATCGGAGTTGGGGCTGGCCGTGTGCTTAGACGCTATCTACGCGTCGCACGGAGGATAGGCGTTCGGTCTCAGGGTTGGCGACGACGGTTGGAGGTACCATAGTCAGCCATGGTAGTAAGACACAGAGCATCGTATCTTTGACGGAAGCCGAATATATAGCTACCGGGTAGGGCGTCAAGGAGGCGTCGTCTGTGCGTGCTGTGCTTTCGTTTGTTGCCTCAGAGACCAGTGGTGGCAGCATCCAGGTCCTTGAGGACAAACAGGGGGCCATAGCATTGGTGCAGAACCCCCTCAGCTCAGGTCGCACGAAACACATCGACCTGAGACTTCACTTCATCCGCGGATTGTTTGGTCGAGGGATATTTCGGTCAAGTTTGTTCCGAAAACGGAGCAACACGCGGACCTCCTAGCCAAGGCCCTTGGCAGGGCTCGTCTGCAGTACCACCGGCGCCAGTTGATGAATTTGCCGGAGTAGCTGTAGCAGTTCCTAGCACTTGGGAGAGGTTACGTTTTCCATGCGGGGAAAGGCGCACAACTGTTGCCGTCTGTGAACCGATGGCAGGAGTAGGGGGCCTTGGGAGGCCATCGTCCGGGGGAACGTAGTTCCTCGCGTTCTTGTCGTCGCCTTGGCCTTTCAAGAAAGTGTGGCCGTCGTGGTCCGCTATGATAGCGATGTTTTTTTTTATGGTAGTTGTACTTTTTAAGGGTTGTTTTTTCCGGACGCCGAGTTTCCCCTCCACGTATTCCCATGTTGGTGTTCTTTTATGTATCCAGGGGATTTCTTGCCCCATTGATGTTTAGTCACTTGTGTGAAGAACCATGGAGGGTGTTCGTGGGTCTGCGAACATTGGTGGTGGATACATCGGCTGGATGATTTGGTGTCACGCAGACTGGTAAGATTGCCGTGTGGTATGGGGCACCGCGATGATTCACGGGCTCCTCCTTGCTGCGGGAGCCGCTCTTCGAGCACTCGCTTTTTCGTCCGTGTGAAGGACGGTCGTCTACCTTTCGTTGATTTGATACATCACCAAAACAGTCTCACCCGATACATACGTGGCGTAGGCCGCAAACAAGACCAAGACCAGAGACCAGTCCACTAACACCCAAATATTCTCCGTTTGACATGCGTGTGTGTGAAAATGCACGTTCCATACGTGTATGTGCACAGCAGTTTCAAACCGGAGATGAGAGGTCGCAAAAAAGTCGCGAGCTCCAGCATGCAACTGCCTCGGATTCTGTGGGTAGTGAACCTGCACCTCAATATTACCGCACAGCGATACACGCAGTGTATAAGGCTGCTGCGATGGTGGTGTTTGATAAGGCATATTTTCAACCATCGACACGAATTCGAAGTTTTATGTGGCCTTGTTCTCAAACACCTACAGGGAAATACCTCCCAGGCGGTGGCATGTAACCAAAGGTTTGCAATTGGTTCGGCAGGCTTTAACGTCGCGGAACGCGCCCCCTGGGAATTTGGCGCGTTTTCGAAAACACTTTTCGCTCGACCACACGCGCCACGGTGGCCTGTCGAGCTCCGGGCACAGGCGTTGATGTACCGACGAGCCTCCCGCGTGCCCCTGAGACGTAATCGCGAGAATAGCTTCGTTGCCGCGAGAGAAAGAAATGCCGAGGCATGAAACGTGACCAAATCTTACATGAACATAAAGGACGGTCGTCTTCCTTGTTCTCGTGATACCCCTCAACGCAATCCGTCTCGTGATGGCCGCCCGCCCCATTGGGGGGCGGGGGGGCAATCCTAAACCGTAGTAACGCTTACGACGTGAAACATCTCTCCTTTCAAGGTGGGCCCAAGAGGTGGTCAGCCCCGTTATACCCTGTTGAATGTCTATCGCCTATCGTTCAATTGATTTTCGAATCACCGTGCACAAGCACCATCCGTATAACCCAGAGTTCATCACGCCCCGAACTAGAGCTGAATCTCATACTGAACCAGATGGACATGCTTCGATATATTCCGTCAAGCCACGCCAAACTTACCCGGCAACGCACCAACAGCTGTCGGTCTTTCCTGAAAACGGAGAGACATAAGCTTTATTCTTACTCTTGTCTACTTTGCCTTAGCCTTGCGAGTAATATCGGTATATCAGGCGCATGCCTTCGTTTCCCAAGTCTTGCACCTGTTTAGGACGCACAATTCGTCCTGCATTCGGGGAATGAGAACGGTGCAGGGCGTTCGTCATGGTTGAGGACAGAGGGCACCGTACGTGCACGGCGTGCATTGTCTACATAGCCCCTGACGTAATTCCAGACAGGGGGTTGAAGAGGGGGCAAACTTGGCTGACCATGAGCCCAGGTACCGTGAAAAGCATCTTGTGCGTGATGAGGGGGGACCGTCCACCCGAGGAGCCACGAAAAATACCTAACAGCTCCAAGTGTCTACCAGAGCTAGAAGATGCCACAACATATACCCTTCAACTAGTTTGACCGGCTCATGAAAGTGAATGGAGTCACCCATGCGGAAACACGACATTCGTTTGTACAGGGAGTCTCAGTCGTCCAAGACGAAAACGCCGGCGTTCTCGCCATGACGGGCGATATCCTTGGCTCCCTGTCGAACAACGCGGTCCTGAACATCGTGCAGATGTTCGAGGAATCTGTCTTCTTCAGACCCGGGAAAATAGTGGTTGTTTTGCAAGAGGAAAACAAGGGGTGGCAGTCCTTCGTCATCAATTGACAGCGATACATCGCCGCCGCCTGTCCATGTGCCGCGTGGTCTACCGAATTTCGGGTCACCTTCGTCCGCTACATCAAGCCCCCGGTGGCCGGGACTGTACAACTTCTCTTGGTTTGCCGACGCCGATCGCCCGGCGGTCAGATTCGCCACGTGGACTAGTTGAGAAGTGACTTCCTCACACACATTCAATGCCGCCGCCTCAGCATCCTCCTCACGGAAGGTATCATGTGAGGAGGGCGCCGTATACCGCGGCAGCGTTCCGGCTTGGTCCCCATACAGTCGGTGAGCGTTGTGCACACCGAATGCTGTGATGATGATGGCTCGTGCATCGCCGTTTCTCAGCTGAGCCGCCACAATTTCGTCGATAGACGCTTGTATCTTGCTTCGTGCGTCTATACACATCGGTGCCCAGTGAAATATGACCTTAAATAAAGAAGGACAGAAAAGGAACACAACAATGTTTCAGGAAGAGTTCGTTGTTTGCTGATCGGGAGATGGAATAAGCAAGCCCGCTTTTCTTGGGGGGGGTGTACTCATGGTAGTCCATGAAGCATGCTGCATTTTGACCGTTGACCTCGCATTCCTGCAACCCCGGGAAGGAACAGGCCCGGTTTTTCACTATCGGAGTTTATAATGAATGACTTTAGTTTGGACCTGCAGCAATACGCACAAGAAGGTAACTGCCGAGTGGTCACATCATACATCGACCCGGTGGTCTTGTGGGTAGCCTCGCAGCCTGCTAAGGGCCAGGTCATGGGCTCGAGTCCCAACGAGAGAGTTTTTTCTCGCTAATTGAATCTTGGTCTCCGTTGGAAGCGACGCGCTGCAAAGCTCGTTGTTGGTAAACTTGATCAAATTCATCAGTCACGAGGGAAGGGTTTGCTGTACCATTCTCGCGATAAGAATATCTCAGGCAGGAATCGCAGGAGCTCGTGAATACCAAATTGCTGCGGGAGCTCATACGCCACGACGCCACCACGTGGAAAGACACAAGAACTAGTTTAACAAGACGATTCTTAATATGTATTCCACCACAGTATTTGCCCAGGAATGCGCAGGTTTCCTTTTAGTTCTGGTGAGGCTATTACAACTCCATGACATTCGCCCGGGGAGTTCGCTAAACATCCGTCTCAATTCGTGTCCTCTTGCTTTCCTCGTTGCCATCTTCGACGTCGAACACGCTATGTACAACATATGCCTCCGTCGTCTGCCGGCTACCACGCGCGAGGTTGCGAACTACGCACCTTGAGACTTCCGCTGGACATGTCGATGCGTTCGTGGACAACGAAATGGGGGGAGGCCTGGCCGGTAAGGATGGACACAAAGCTCTCCGCAAGACGGCGGGTGGTGCTATCTCCGACGAAGTGGAACACGTACCTTGAAGAAAGATCTTCCAGGGTTCCCTGTTGCATGCGAGTCTGGAACCAATGACGTTGGAGGTTGCCAACGCGAGTGCAGGGCTAAGTGGTATTGGCAGTGATTTAGCGTAGGACCCGAGCGAATAGTGTTTACTCGAACAGATCTGAACAGGTCACTGCCGTTGGCTCCAGCTGTACCCCGAACTTGCGGATCGACGGACTTGCTCACACTTAAGTCATCTCGGCACCTCCAACGACCGCAACACTACCATCACGTTGCAGAAATCGTTTGATCGTGCGATATCGATAGAAACTCGAACCAGAGTACCTGAAATCCGCATCATGGGTTGGCCGCGTCCATGAAAGGCATCCTGTAGCTATCCTGATGCATCAGATGATCGCAGGCAACGCCAGGGAGCTGAATTAGTCGTGCGCAGTCCTCCACGAACTCATGCATCGTTTTTCCTTGCCTTATGCACCCCTTGCCATATTCACCTCCGTTTGTGCCAGTGTCTTTCGAAATATCGTTTGGACTCTCCATCCATTCTGCATCGGATATGTTGTCCCATTCATTCCAGTCTATATCGAGACTCGTGTTGGCGGAGGCCAGGACAGCAGGCTTTGTGAAGGGGGCCACGAAACGAACGGATAGGGCCACCGCCACTAGAGCACGCCCAAGCTTTGCCAGAATGCTCCAGGAGCTACATCCGGCCATTGCCCTTTGCAGAGGGCACTGTTGGTTAATCGCGTACCCTTCCGAACACGATGATGACGATGTCTATCCTGAAAGCATTGGCAAGCGGTGCGGATTGCGGTTGTTGCTTACAGTAGACGCTCCTGAAGAGTGCAGGGGGGTGCGCAGAAAATTAGCCGGCACTAGACACCGGCACTAAGGCGTGGGGAACCTGAACATTGCCAATACGACACTACGCAGGGAAATATAGTCCATCGCTACAGTAGCACAAAGATCAGTACTATTGGCGAACTGCTTGATCTCAGGTTGCACCGCTTCGCTTTGAGGCGGCAACAGATCACCTCCTATCCTGTCGATTACATAGATTTTGCTGTGGAAAGTGAACTGGGCGGGACAGACTTCATTGCCGGAAAGGTCACGTAATAAATTCACATGAATATCGGAAATGATTTACCTCGCAGCAGTGGTACTGGACTTACACGGATCAGCCTATTTCGGGCAAGCTCAATGGCACTACTGGACAAAGAAAGGAAGACACTCACTCATGGACCTGATGCATCTTTGGCGGTAAATTGCCTGTCAAGTTCAAGTGAGTACTCGTATACTGATGAAAAGGGACCAATATCCCACTCCTTTACGCTCCCTCGATGTAGCGAGAGCAGGAAAACAATGTGCGTGCGAAACTGGCGCTGATCGCCCTACCCGGCTGACCATCGAACATCCGTCAACGGGTAAGGGTAAGGGTTATATCCCCAGGGGACGCAGGAGTTTTTACAACAACGTGTATGTAAATATATATTTTTGTAGCGTAGACCTCGCTACCTTACTGACCAATGACAAGACATCATTGTCAGCAGAAATAATAAGCCTTGTTTGCAAATGATCTACCAAGGCTGCTACCTTGCACTCGAGTTCGTTTTGGATTGCTTTCTCTTTAATCTTCCTTGCGTTCACAACAATCACTCTCCTCGTCAATGTCACCGCTATTTGTCGGAAGTTCTGATCTCGCCCTGCGTCATTTTGTTGTGGGGAAGGTTATCAGGCTCGAAGCTCTTGCTCTCTTCCATTGCATTCTTCCTTCCTCCTTTGCTGTTTTGGTCGTTCCCTGGTCCTCCCGTCCCCCTTCCTCCCTCCTTGGTCCCTACCTAATGAAAACCCCTCATTGCCACCATAATCTTCTTTGTCTGCACTACTACTGAGATTCAGACCCACTGGCCGTAGTGGAAATTGGTCGATCAGGAGTCCATGAAGTTTGGAACGTCTCGAGCTGGCTAACGAGAGATTATGAAACAGCTCAAAGGTAAACCGTCCCCGAATCCTGTTGGTATCCTAAGCCTTCAGGCGAGGCAAGGCTGTTTCGTCGTCGAGGTTTCCCGCCAAAATAAATCGCATGCCAGTGGTTGGCAACAACTACGATTAGTCGATTTGTGCCTTGACCAAGACCCCCACACGTTGAAAAAGCACCAGAAAGGAGCCAACCCTAACTCCTTCCCTGGGGAGGATGGATCTAGACTGGTTGAAAGTTCCACCAAAGTGGTTTGCCTTACTTACAGGTTCATCTTCGATGACGCGTCCTGGTGTATGGAACGACTTTTCGATGGTTCGACGTGTGCGTCTATATTATTAGTAATCACATCGACCACGAAAACTGGTTGACAAACAATCAGACGTGTGTGTCTTGATTATTTGCATCGATCGCGCTAACGGTAGACCAGAGAAAAGACGTCAGTCTCAGTGCGCCGCGCTGACACAAAATACTTCCAAATGTCACGAACTGGGACCCCGTGAGGGAGCATCATGGGGGTTCTGCCATACTTTCTTTAGTTTTCCATAACGACCCATGGGACTCCCATGGGCGGCCCATGGGCCCTTCAACCGAACAAGTGTACACCTAAACAATAGTTTTCTACTTTGGAACGAGCACTGTTGCAGCCAAATACCCTAACCCTCACCCCAAAGCCCGCACGATACGTGCAAGGTTGCCGCTGTGGCAAAGTTCTAGTCTATGTCGGTTGCGAAGTTCTAAGTTGAAGTGCTCACTTCATGGGCCGCCCATGGGCATATGCTCATGGGTCAACCATGGGCAGTCCATCGACAGCCCATGGGCAGCCCATGGATGTCCCATGAGCGGCTTAAGAAAACTGCCAGTAGTGTGGGAGACTACGGAAACCTACTCTCTACATTAGTAACAGAAACGGTAGCTCCAGAAGAGACCCGCATCTATCTATCAAGGATGCTACCATACACTGGAGTTCGTTGTGAAGTGCCTCCAACACCCTCCTGGCTTTCACCATCATCACTCCCATCGCCAGTATTTCAGCTATGTTGCGGCAGTTCTTCTCTAACCGTGCGTCGTTTAATGTGAGGAAGGTCGTCTAGCTTGGAGCTCTTGCTCTGTTCCACTCCTGCTTTCGTGGGTGTGCGGGTAGCCAACCATTACTCACACGCTAAATCTCTGCTGTCTCTCGCAAACAGCCCATTAGCAATAATCAGCGGCAGGAGAACCAAATATTCACCTAATAGATGATGTCTCTCTGTGTTGTGGGGCTGGATGGTTGTCGAAAACGTAGTTCGGCAGAAATGCGCTGCACTCTCATAGGAGCTGTGACACCACAGGAATCAAAGTTCCGACTTTCCGCACGACTCATGGAGGTTACCTCGTACTAGGGTTAAGGATTGGCCCCCTGCCCCCCAATCGGGCGGGCGGCCATAGCGCATCCTGGAAGATGCACCGGAAAGGCGACCCGCTTCTGTTATTGGGGAAGGTTGCTCTACGCTGCTGACGTGCGGAATGCGCTCGACGATAGGCATTGATTGGCGGAATCGACGGATACAGCATGCCGTGACCTGTCGTGTTTGTTGATGACGGTGGCGTTGGCTGCTCGATACTCACGATTCTCGTCGTGGCTTATTGCCGCGATCAACCGAGTCGCCAATGCGTGGCAGTGGAGCGTAGTACTGTCAAGCTCTGTGTGGTAGGTTGTCTACGGTGCAACACGGGGGTTATTGGTGATCGAACGACCTAGGCATGCGTGTGTGATATTTTTTAACTGCGTGAAAGGCACGTGAACAAATTATTTATCATCAAATTTTCCGATTATGGTACATGTACCCCATGAGTCATTGAATAGGTGGCACACCACACTGACTGCTTGCTGGCTCTTGTGACAATTATTGTGGACACACGCCATTCGGTCCCTTTGTGGTACCTTTTAGCTATTTGGTTTGATATCTGTTTCCTGTGGTAGGCTGACCTTAGAAAGGGTGCTGCGCAGAGCTTGAGCGCTCTTGCTTCCGAGCGGTGGTGCGTGTGTTTGTCTTTTGAAAAAGTTCAACCATCATCACAACAGAGGACGTGCAGCGCCAAGCAACATGTTTGTGCCAACGGGCCTCTTCCTACCCTTTGGTTTGCGTTGTTTGTACCACATGTTTGGGATCCCTCTGGCGCACGCAAACTATAATATTAATATATGTTTCGTTTGTGCTGTGCGCATGAAGCCCACGGAGTTTTACATGGGGCTCTCGGCCACCTAGGAACTGTTCCAAGAGAGAAAAAATATATGAGTGCGGACAATTCATTAATTCCTCAAGATCCAGCAGGCTTCGGTCCTCGGTGATAAAAATACACCAAGCAAGATGACAATTGATCTTTGACCACTCCTTTTCAGCTAGCGACGGGTAGTGCTTGACGTAAGGACGGCTGGAAACCAAGAAAAATCGCCTGCGTGCAGTGCAGCATAGTGGACACCAGCAGGTACGCAGCAGGTACAGCAGTTACTGATACCACCTCAAACGCATACGCGCAGTCCATGCCGGGCAGCACCAAGAAACGTTCACGTCCAGCGATATGCATGGAGAGATGAGGAAGCACAGACGTACATGTATGTGGGGAGCTACGCATAGGCAATCATTCTTGCATAGCCCGTGGTAATGTACACGCATAGATATATCGCGACGGTATGCACGACCCAATGCGGCACACAACGATAAAGTCCATGTAAATAATACTAACGTAATTAGTTGTGAACACTGTGGCAGCGTGCAGCAACGTTCGTCCACAGGAGGTGCTCTGCTCTGATTCGAGCATAGGAAAAAGTCTGTCACGGCAATGGATTGGGTATTGCCATGTCAATCGTTTCGTTTCGGTTCCATGTACGAGTGCCACGTAGTAGACATTCCACAGGAGGAGTCCCTTGTCGCGGTGACCACGAGTATGGCGACACCAATCGAAGGTCACCCGTTGGTCGGCGGCATCATTTGACAGGTGCAGGACGCGTGCACGGCAGTTCGCATCGCATGGACAAATGGTTCATCGTCGCATGAGGTATCATGTCATGTATATATTCACAGTATGGTCGTCGTGACGTGACACATTCCTTACTGTAGATTTTGTTTTTGGCTAAAGCAGTATGTGCCAGACACCGAACAATGTTGGCCTGCGGCGACCCAGGACAGGATGGGATACCTCCTGCGACGGCGAACCATACTCCAAGGCGATGCAAACAGCCGCTGGCGTGTCGTGCAGCTGCCACATGATGCTGCCGAAGCTGTCTTGGGAAAATCTCCCACATGCGTGAAATGCTGTACTTTAGACTAAGCATATAGAAATCGTAGCAGTGTGAAGTTGTGCGTTGTGGGCATCTTCCACACACTCGTACCGGTGCTTGTATGTCGATTGTAGTCTTGGGCGTAGGTCGAAATACTGTAGTGCGATTCTCGTGTTGGTGAAAGAAGTCTGCCTGCAACAAGAGAAAGGGGGGTGAGCTATTTTCCCCACCCGACGTGTATATTATGGAGCTGTGTGGCGGGAATACTAGACGTGCTCGCCACCCGACCTGCTGTCAGCTGCTGTGCGCTGTGCGTTGATGTACCGAACACTCCTACCGGTTCCTGTGTGTCGATTAGTTTCAAGATGTACAGCTTATCCACTATGCTATAAGTCAGCGCTGACTTGTAGCATTGTGGATGTGCTGTACATATTGACAATTGGAATTTTGTAGGGCCAGATACAGAGTGGGATTTTCGTGGT